TTTTTTTTTAAAAAAAACGCATAAAATTTGCAAAATCTCATCGGTTCTTTATTTGAAACGTTAGATTGGTCCATGACATTTACTTTTTGAAGATAATTTCATTTAAATGTTGACCGCGGCTGCGTCTTAGGTGGTCCATTCGGAAAGTCCAATTTTGGGCAACTTTTTCGAGCATTTCGGCCGGAATAGCCCGAATTTCTTCGGAAATGTTGTCTTCCAAAGCTGGAATAGTTGCTGGCTTATTTCTGTAGACTTTAGACTTGACGTAGCCCCACAAAAAAATAGTCTAAAGGCGTCAAATCGCATGATCTTGGTGGCCAACTTACCGGTCCATTTCTTGAGATGAATTGTTCTCCGAAGTTTTCCCTCAAAATGGCCATAGAATCGCGAGCTGTGTGGCATGTAGCGCCATCTTGTTGAAACCACATGTCAACCAAGTTCAGTTCTTCCATTTTTGGCAACAAAAAGTTTGTTAGCATCGAACGATAGCGATCGCCATTCACCGTAACGTTGCGTCCAACAGCATCTTTGAAAAAATACGGTCCAATGATTCCACCAGCGTACAAACCACACCAAACAGTGCATTTTTCGGGATGCATGGGCAGTTCTTGAACGGCTTCTGGTTGCTCTTCACTCCAAATGCGGCAATTTTGCTTATTTACGAAGCCATTCAACCAGAAATGAGCCTCATCGCTGAACAAAATTTGTCGATAAAAAAGCGGATTTTCTGCCAACTTTTCTAGGGCCCATTCACTGAAAATTCGACGTTGTGGCAGATCGTTCGGCTTCAGTTCTTGCACGAGCTGTATTTTATACGGTTTTACACCAAGATCTTTGCGTAAAATCTTCCATGTGGTCGAATAACACAAACCCAATTGCTGCGAACGGCGACGAATCGACATTTCACGGTCTTCAGCAACACTCTCAGAAACAGACGCAATATTCTCTTCTGTACGCACTGTACGCATTCGTGTGGTTGGTTTAATGTCCAATAAAGTAAACTGAGTGCGAAACTTGGTCACAATCGCATTAATTGTTTGCTCACTTGGTCGATTATGTAGACCATAAATCGGACGTAAAGCGCGAAACACATTTCGAACCGAATACTGATTTTGGTAATAAAATTCAATGATTTGCAAGCGTTGCTCGTTAGTAAGTCTATTCATGATGAAATTTCAAAGCATACTGAGCATCTTTCTCTTTGACACCATGTCTGAAATCCCACGTGATCTGTCAAATACTAATGCATGAAAATCCTAACCTCAAAAAAATCACCCGTTAGTAATTTTCTAAAAATCAAATTAAGTTAAATAAATATGCGTATATATTTTCCTTTTTAGAACAATAAAATATAAAAATTATAAGAAAGTTAAATAAAAAATAATAATAATAATTATATAAAAAAAGAAAAAAATCCGCTGCCCAAGGAGTCAAACCTCAGATCTCTCGAATGACCCGCCAGTGCTTAGCACACTCAGCCATCGTGAAACTTGCACCGATTGTTGCTTTCAACTGAAAGTTGCCTGTAAAATCACATCATGTAAACACCGTATTGAAAATGCGGTTGAATAACAAGATATGCTTTTTCGAAAGCAAATGCATTTGGAATATTAAAAATATATGAAACAAGTAAGAAAGTCTAAGTTCGGGCGGAGCCGAACATTAAATACCCGGCGCAAGTATTAAATATGTTTTTTCACCTTTCCGAAACCTTCCGCTAGATGGTAAGCCGGGGTGTATCAATTTTGAGTAAATTAGCGTCCTTCAATTTCGAAATATTGAAGTTTCAAGCATTTCTGAAATTTACCGTTATATGAGAAGCGGCCGTTATTTTAGTCCGATTTCAATAATTTTCAACGTTTTGCTTATATGTGGCAAGCAGAATAACCACACCGAGTTTGGTACAAATTGGTAGAACGGTTACCGATATACATATATGTGATCATAAGTGGGCGGTGCCATGCCCATTTTCCAAAATTTTACCATAGACGTATTTCTTGGTAAAGAATTGTTGCAAGATTCAATTTTGAATAAATTAGCTTCAATATTTACTGATTTATCGAAGATTTTGTATTTCTCTAAATTACCGTTATATGGGATGTGGGCGTGGTTATTGTCCGATTTTAAAAAGTTTCGGCCATTTGGTATGCTGTACCAGGGCCAACAACTGTGCCAAGTTTGGAAGAAATTGGTGCAGCGGTTACGAAGATATACACATGTAACCATAAGTGGGCGTGGCTACGCCCATTTTCCAAAAAATTTATAATATTCTTATTTTTCGTCGAAAAATTATTGTAAATATCAATTTTGAGCGAATAATCTCCAGTAGTTACTAAAATATCGTAGTTTTCGTATTTCTGAAAATTACCGTTATATGGGAAGTAGGCGTGGTTATTGAGCGATTTTAAAAATTTTCGGCCATTTAGTATGTTGTGCGAAGGCCAACAACTGTGCCAAGTTTGGAAGAAATTGGTGCAGCGGTTACCAAGATATACGCATATAACCATAAGTGGGCGTGGCTACGCCCATTTTCCAAAAATTTGTAATATTCTTATTTTTCGTCTAAAACTTATTATAAATATCAATTTTGAGTGAATTATCTTTAGTAGTTACTAAAATATCGCAGTTTTCGTATTTCTGGAAATTACCGTTATATGGGAAGTGGGCGTGGTTAAAGTCCGATTTCGCCCATTTTCAATACCAACCTACCTTGGATTAAGGGAAACCTACATACCAAATTTCGTTGAGATATCTCAATTTTTGCTCGAGTTATCGTGTACACGGACGGACGGACAGACGGACAGACGGACGGACAGACAGACATGGCTTAATCGATTTCTTTTTT